CGATAGAAAATCCAATGCGAATCAACAGTTGGCGTCTCGTATCTGCGAACTTGAGGATGAACTCGAGAAGCTAAGGGATAGGATGGCCCTTTGTAGATCGGAGTTGACTAAATACATGAGCGTTGGAAAGATCGAGACGATTATCGGTGGCGAGGATGATTTTGCAGAAACTACTGATAAGTTGGTTGGAATCAGGCCAAAAGTAGCTGCTAAGGATGTAGGAAGAGAAGATGATATTGCTGACGTTTTAGATAAAGAAATTCTTATAAAAGATAAGCAAGATGATAAGGAAACTTTGGCGAAAGTTGAAGTTCAGGATAAAGAAGTGAGTCCTGTTATTGGTATACCAAAGGAACCTATGGAGCCAGAGAAAATGGACGCTATGCACAAATACTTAGCGATGTTAGGATCTTTAGAGGAACTGTATTACGACGATGATTATGGCATTTGTGGTTCAGAATTCGCGTGTTACGAAGAAGATTGGCAAGAGATTGCAACGGATACTGAACTTTCGACAACTTATACCGACTCTACTCCAGTCATTTCAGAAAAAATTATTCCTACGGACGATATAAAAGAAGAATTAGACGAAGAAATCGAAGATGATATTCTTGCGGAATTAATAGATGATGTAATTGTCAGAAGTGCACTGAAACGTAAAACCAAAGACACGAAAGAAATTGATGAGACGTTTAAAGAAGAAGAAGAAGAAGAAGACGACTACGAAGAAATGTATGAACCTAAAGAAATTCTCGAAGAAATTGATAAACCTGTAATCGATCAAGACAATGCCATTATTCCATTGAATAAACTGAGATCCTGGGTCAATACCGTTGATACGATTCGCTTAGTCATATCAGTTCGTATAACTTTATAATCTGTTTAATTTCAAAGTAACATCATCGATCTAAATGTTTGACACTTTTCTTTCAGAAATGTCCAACGTGTTCCAACGTAAAAACGAATGCAGATAATTTGGCCGAAGATATAGCAACGTACGCAGGGGTAAGTTAAAATTTTCTTTATAAAATTTATTATTTTAAATATAATAAAACAAAAAATCAACTTGATAAGGATCGTTAGGCAAACATTGATTAATTACTTATAATTACTTATGTGCCATATATATATATATATATATGTAAATGAACTTTGTGAACGTTGATTAGGTTCAAGCTAAAGAAGTGATCACCGAAATAATACCAAAGTTAGATGAGATTGTAAAACAAGTAGACAAAGAGGAACTAAAAGAAGATGTTCATGAAAAGATGGTGATTAAGGAAGAAGTATTATCAAAACCTTTTGAAGAGATACGAGAGAAAATTGAAATGAAACCAGAAACAGAAATTATCGAAGGTTTGAAAAAGATAAAAATGGAAGAGATTAAAGAAGAAACACCAATGATAGATGTCGCTGAAAGTAAAGTTGAAAAACCTGTAATAACTGCTGTAGAAGTTCCAGAAGAAATAAAAAAAACGATCAAAGTTGAACCCACGGAAGAAGAACCTATTTCGTTAGATAAACCAGATATTGTATCTGAGAAATTAAAAGAAGAAGAGATCGAAAAAGATAAGATAATGATGACACCCCAAGAAAAGGTAATAAAAGAATCTACTGATATTCCAATTAAAGACAAGTTAGTACCTACAAAAGAATCAGATAAGATTGAAAAAGATATCGTGGTTCCAAAAGAAATACAAGAAGTGGACCATGAATTGAAAAAAGAAACAAAAATAATATTACCTATTCAAAAATTACCTGAAAAAGATGAAGAGATTTGGATTCCAAAGGAAGAAGAAGTTAAACATGCGGATGTTCCTGACAAGTATGTTCCTGAGAAAAGTAT